AGGTGAATTATATAGAGCAGAATTCAAACTAAACAGTGATTCTGTTAATATAACTTGGAAGTTGGATGTGTAAAAAGAAACAAAAAATAAGAAGTTATACTAAAACAACCCAAAAGTAATGTGGATGGAAACTTTATCATGTTGCAAGGTCAAAGCTCTTAAAGTAAATACATTTCTTGTTATAGAACAGCACTACTCAAGGGATCATAAAAAACAAACAAAAAAACCACACAAAAAGAGAGGAATGGAATTAAATTACAAAACAAAAAAGGAAGTATTTTTAAGATGCAGGTTTCTAGACAGCAAGGTATATCAACAACATCGTCAACACTAAAACATTCAGTGGCCTTGTAAAAGAGAGAAGGTTTCAAGCAGACTTAGAATTGTGCAGTTACTTCCATCTAAGAGCAAGGAGGAGGTGGGAAGAAAGGGTTATATAGAGAAGCCATTCCATGACCACACTCCAGGGCAGAAGTAGCAAGGATAATTTAGTAAATACCCATTCCTTTCATCTTTGAGGGCAGGTTGGTGGACAGTTCTGAACAGAATTTGACTAACACCCACCAACTTCAACTTCCTCCTGCCCCCCCCCCCTTAAGAAAAAAAGATTCTTAACTCCTTCTTTCCTAAAACCATTATTTTAAAGTTGGAGAAGAGACTGAGAGAAGGGAATTTCACTGAAGTCACACACTGGGCTCCTTGCCAAGTCCAGATACTTGTGCATGTACAGATAACCATTCCCAAAGCTCCTTAGAACAGGATCTGAAAGATTCTTATAAGACTACACCTATCCTGTTGCACACAGCACATACTCCAAGGTGACGTGTTTGTTATCTTCAATACTTCAGTAAATCATGTTGCCCAATAGCCATGGGAGTGACCTGCTTACCCATATATACATGTAGATTTAAATTTGTGTGTGTGTGAAGGATGTGAGAATCAAAATCAAAAAGTACTTCTGGACTAAAAAATCCATTTACAATCCATTAAAGGTAAAATACACCAAAAAGTAAGGAGTTTTATAAAAAATAATGAAATCTAAAGGTAAATTTGAGACAGGAAAAGACAATCAACTTTAAAGCACAAACAAAATAATTACATCAAAGGTAATTTGGTAAACAGTCCTGAGTCAAAAATGTAAGGCCAGACAGATCTGGCAAGGACAAGCTGTTGCTAGTTTAAAAGAAAAGGGATGCTTTAATCAATTTTGTATGAGGATAAAGATGAAACCCTAAAAGCAAAATAGAGGATGTGTATCTTGAGGATGTGTATCTTAAGGATGTATCCCTACTTCAAGTAGAAATGGAAGAGGGAATTTGTGTGTAGCTCCAGTGTAGGACAAATGGTATCAATAAAATAAAACAAGCTGAAAGCAAATTATTCACTGACTTTTACAAATACTAGTACTGACTTACAAACACGTTTTAACTCCTACACTAATGGGTTTTGAAGGAAATAGATATCCTGTACATTAAAAAGGAAACTTATACCTAGAAGAGAAAAGATGATTGCGCTTATCAAAGACATACTGGTTACTGGCACAAGCCAGTGCATCTCAAAGCAGAGATTTACTGTAGTTAAACAAATTGCAAAACAGCAAAAAAACCCTCTTGACCTCCTGCACAGAACAAAACCAAAACCTTAAGTATCTTATTCTTTCTTGATACATAAACAAAGTTTTAATCAAATGGAATAAGAATACTTGTTTAAGAAAAAGGAAATTTTGTGTTTCCTCTCCTGTAGTGGCAAGTTAGAACTTCTGAACTAAGTAGGAGCATCTTGTTACTGCTGCTGTTTGCCCTGTGAACCCTCTAACTATGCATTAGGTAAAATCCATTTTCCAAAGGCTAACTTCTAACATACACATGATCTTAACAGAGGAAAGAATAAATAGGATGATAATAAGTAAAAGCTTAGAAAAGAGACTTGAAGCAATGGAAAGATAAACAACTCATTTTACACAAAGATCTTCTATAAAGTACTTTTATCCTTCCTAAAATACTTGTGAGGTAGTACTTAGCTCCAGCTAGGACCTGACACCTGTCTAATAGTTATGCATCATGATAAAGATGATGAGGAGAGCTGGAGGCTCCTTTTCTCTTTACTTATGAGACGGTCATGCCAGAGCTCCCAGACTTCTGGACAGCAGTGCCCACAACCTTTGTGGCAGGTATTTTAAATAAAGTTCAGTTTGAGCAGAACGAAGAATTATGCCCTTCTTATAAGCTGTTCCATTACTAAAATATGAAGGGCCTATCTGCCACCTACACTGAAAATGTGAAATAGAATACAAGGCATACCTGAGGTTGGAAGGGACACCCCAAGATTACACAGAGTCTAATGCATCTGCTCAGAGCAGTGTCAACTACAGTAACATGCTCAGGACTGTGTCCCATCAGGTTTTGTGCACCCCACAGTGGTTCAGGGTCACCTGTTCCAGCATTCAGTCATCCTTACAGTAAAACACTTTAGTATTTAAATGGAATTTTCTGTGTTACATTTTGTGCCCGTTGACTCCTGTCCTTCCACTGTGCACCACCAAGAGAGCCTGACTCCATCCCCACTCCTCCCTGACAGGTATTACTGAAATTACTGAAATGCCCCCCAGCCTTCTCTTCTCAGTGATAAAAAAACCAGCTCTCTCAGCCTCTCCTTGCACAGCAGACACTGTAATCACCTCTAATTCCTAAAGAGTATGCTGGACAGGGAAAAATGGTCAGTGATACAGACTCTATTCCTAAGTTACACAGCACAGAAGTTCATTACAGCTGGGAAGCCTGAGACTAGTCACAGTCTTTGTACATTAAATACTACTAATAAATGACAAGATATAAAAACCCCTTGTGCATGTATATATAAACATGTCACTACATAGAAAGTAGATGTTGTAATAATGTTGCATTTATTTTTCTAAAATCTATAACAACTTCAACCTTTTACAAATTCAGCATATTTTGGGTATGTGGGAAATTGTTACTGAAAAAAAATCTTTAAGCCACTAAGAATATTTTTCTACAAGGTAAGTCTTATCAAGTTAGGCTTCATCTGCACTTAACTGATAAAATGATACTGAAAATGACTTCAAATCCTTCAAGCTACTACAATATAATTACTTCTTCATCAAATTTGGGCTGCACAGGACACAATTTAACGCACTAAACACCTGTTCAAAATAAAAAAGAAGACATATGGAACAGTCCTGTCAGTTATCAGAATTTTGGAACATGCTTGCAGCTTATATTCACCAGACTTGAAGCACAACAAATAATGGCACTAGGGCAACCTACCTGCCTGGTTATAATGGCCTTAATATCATAAACCTCTTTAAGATAATTGTCTATAAAATATTCTATACATAACACAAAGGAGAAAAGAATGCAGGCTGTATTTTCAGGATGGAGTAATACACAATCTCACTTCCTGCTCCAGGACAATAACCTCATCTCTTGTACTTCTCAAAACTCAGAAGTCAAAACTAGATACAGTAAGCCATGGGTAATCTCAGTGCTACAGTGAGAAACATACGATGTAGGAAAGAGCTAGCAAGGTTTTTGCAATTATCAGCCCAATGATGTAGTAAAAAACCCATTAAAATTAAATAAACCTGAGGAGGTATTACTAAAGTAGCATTGAGAGTAAAGTAGGAGCAGATATTCCTAAAAAGAGGAAGCCACAATGACACTGGAGAGGCTGGAAAACAAATGGTACAGTAAGCTTACAGAACTTTACCCATGTATCTCAATGAAAACAAAGTTAAGAGATTTCTTGATTAGCATCCATATCTACCTATACTTTGGAAGTGAGGGGTGCACCTCTATCTCGAAAGTAGTAAGATTATCCAAGGGCAACTGTCACCTCCTCTCTGCAAACAAGATCTCCCACTTTGGCATATGGTACAAGCTTTACAGTTGCAATTCATAAGACAAAAACACATCCAAAGGATGGAGGCAAAGAAGGACAGAGAGAACGAGAATTTAAAAGGCTTTAAAAAAAAGGTTACACCCATATTAGAACCTAACATATCTTTTCTTTTAAGGAAATATCTAAGACAGAAAAAGAAATCAAGAGGTTTTATATTAAATTGATCCTCTCATTTTTAAAAGTTGAGGTCATAATTCTCATTTATCTAAACAAGAAAGCAGTGGTATAAAAACAAAAATATAAATGCTACAACTTCTGAAGCTACAGCTCCTGAACAACTCATGACCTGCTGAATATAAGCAATATATTGGAGAATGGTAATGCTACTTGCAACATCATTATCGAGGGTTTGGGCTACAAAACCATTATAGCAGAGTAAAACTCAGCTTCTCCTGTCAGCAGAATTGCTGCTTTCTGCTCTTAAAAGCTAAGATTTTGTTTGCACACTTCAAAAATCCATAATAAATCTTTTTTATCTGTGTCACAAACACCATTGGGCAACTGTTACCACAATATATAATAATCTTAAATAAGGGAAATTTACATTTCACTCAAGACTTGTCCATCACTATTGAGCTCCTAAAAGGGTTGTAAGCCCTTATGTAGATTTTAGGCTTGGTATATTTCAACTAGTACAGCAAGAAACAGAACAAGAGATAGCACCTAAACCGTATTTTATGAAAAGAATATGGAATTACAAATTCGAAAGATAACTTAAATAAGCATAATATAATATATTATCCGAAAAGGATAATATATTGCCCTTAGATGTCAAGCCAAATCCTATTTCTGAGTATTTCAAGAGCAATTCCAAATACCTTCTTCTCCACAAGCACTTATTGATTTTATTTTAACTTAGGTAATCAGCTTAATAAGACTGGTTAAAGATTAAAGCACTTAAGAGTCACAGAGTGCACTGGTTTCTACACAGGCTCCAACACTGTGAAACATGAACCCTACTACATAACAATAGATTTAATCAGTTTATTAGTACAGTGAACAAAAGAACTAAAATGCCACAAAATAACTAGGTTTTGGTTGATTTTTTTTTTAATCTTTCCCTTTAAGAAAAAAATTACCTCTACACAAAAGATCTTAAGATCAAGTCCACATAATTTCATCTTCTCCGGAAAATGCTGAAAAACATTCAGATATGGAATATGACCTTCAACAACAAACCTGCATTAAAAAAAATGAAGACCAAATCAAGAAAGTATTTAGGATGATAAATGCATAGGTTTATTATAAAATTAATGTACAAATTAACTTCTGATTTGAAATAACATCAGTATTATGCTGCCTAAGCAATTCAATATGAAGTTACACACCCCTAAATGCTCCACAGAACAAAAATCAGTTCAATCATTTAACAGGTTTTTAAGTTCCAGCTCAGATATGACTGACAAATGATAACGTTATGGCAGTAAGCATACAATCAACATCCTTACATCGAGTTTATTCTGCACATTCTTCAGCTACTGCATTTTTGTGAAACTGCTTTAAGCCTCCTTTGAATGGTATGGAATTTATTTTTTTCAAATTTCTAAAGCCTTAAGTAAATTTTACTTTGAAAAAAACACACACTTTCTGCTGGAGGAGTTTGAATCAGGTAATGTGATAGGGAGGAAAGTCACAGAATGATGAGCAAATACATAGAACTGAATCCACATTAATTACATCTGTATGATGATTTAAAAAAAAAGTATTATTCAGGAATGAATAGAAATGGTCTCCTATACTAATAAATCAATATAGTTTAACTTTTATTTGCACTCAAGTAACGTATTTTTTTGTTAAAAATTGGCTTTGGTAAGTGGTTGACAGTATTATTTGATTTTTCTTAATTTTTTCATATATATACATATATATAAAAAATGGGACTCAACAGCACATATCAATAAAAAGCCACCTCCACACCAAACCCTTGCTCTTATCTAGAATCTTAGCAGACATCCACAACAAGCAAAGCAAGCAGAGAACAGCACAGACCCTCATAAGGGAACACACTCATTCCACAGTAAAGCACGCTGGTAGCCTCCCATAGGACTAAGATGGAAATGCCTTCCTGTCTCCTCTTCTGCAACCTAATTTTGTTATGAGTACATAAAACTTGTAGAATTTAACATTACAAACAGAGAAGACTCTTCTTTAAATAATCTTAAGCAACTGAAAACTATTTTCTCTCCTGCTGACTGTGTTATCTGCACAGGACCTCTCTGATCTCACTACACAGATTAGTAACTTCTTGGTCTACAAATATTTCATGTCCCTCCTGAGCCTACAGCAATTCATAAGTTCATCTGCCCTCTCTCAGTCCAGTGCCCTCATCACTAATTGTTCCACCTAGTGTGTATCTATTGAAGTTGACTAAAATTCTATTTAAAAGCTAGTTACTGCAAAGTTTACAGTTATATTCTATTTTTTTTAAGCACTTATCTGAATTTTCAGTTTAATTGAAAAAATTAATTAAAAACAAGATTAAAATAAAAAGTGTAGACAAGGTGGTGTTAGGTCAAAGGTTGGACTCGATCTCAGAGGTCTTTTCCAACCTAGTTGATTCTGTGATAATCAAAACTCTGTCTCAGAATTAACCCGTTGTTTATAGTAGTTTCTGAAAAACAAGAGCAATATGAAAAATCACAGTTCCCAATAGTTTTTATTCCAAGACTTTGTGTATTGATCTCTTAAATGAAGAGGTAAAAGTTGCTGCACAATCCTTTCTAATAAAATTGTGTGATGAACATTTTGCTAATGAAATTTCAGTAGCTTTCCTCAACCAGTATTAGTGTTTCCCACTCCAAGTAGAGTTGTGCACTGGCCCACGTGGTCAGTGAGGCCATCTGGCAAATCTATCCCCAGTCACTTGCCCTCGCCATCCCACCTGACCTGCTGAGCAGCTTGCACATCAGTTTCTCAGCTCATTTGAGTCACTCACACTAAATTGAAGAACATAAGCTTGAGGTATGGTTTCACAAAATTGATTGAGGCAACCTAAAATCTCAACATAACTAGCAGGACTTCCCTCCTGGTGATCTGGCTGTGTGTACTCCTGTTGCTCCTCATCCTCTTCCCCAAATGTAATCACAACAGCAGCAGAAAACCACCCATTACTCTGTTGCCTGAAAGGGTTTCTTTCCCATCATCTAAAGAACTGAGGAGGCTCACAGATGGTTCCACGAGTGAAAGAGTTGGCTGAGGGAAGGGGATGCATCACACAGGCAGGAGAACAAAAAGAAGCAAGATTGTCCTCTTTCAGCGGTGCCCCATTACTGGCTCAGCTGGGTGCCCCATTACTGGCTCAGCTGATAAGCTCTGGCTGAGTCGAGTTAAGGCACAATCACACCATTAGACCTGAAGAGCTGGAACCAGAGAGCAGCAACCTTCCGAGCCAGCACAGCAGAAGCTTGAGGAGGACAGACTATCAGGACCTTCCCTCGGGTGTGGTGTAGTGCTGATGCAGCCAAACCACCCCAACAGCTTGCTGCCTCTGAAATAGGAAATCCCACCCTCCCTTCAATCCCCTGCCACACACTCCTCCCTGCTGACAAAAGCACTTGTGTGACTTCTCAGAGGATCAGATGGAGAATCAGTCTCTTCCAGGGTTTGACTCCAACCAGATAGATACCCAGACTCAGCTGACTGCAGGAACATTACTGCATATAGGCAGAAAGAGACTGCAATGAAGCACATTAACCTGCACTAAAAATGTCCAGTTAAACTTTTACAAAATAAATTTTGTACAGATCTTCTTCTTTCAATTACTAAACCCTCCATTGGATAAATGCTACTACTAGGGCAAGAGAAAGAACAAGAATGTTTATGCAGGACCACAGCAACAGAAATTTGGAGCAGTTTAAACTGATGCTGGAACCACATCCTTCTGCTGCAAGAGACAACCAATGTCCATCAAAATGTCTTTTTTAAAAAAGTTTTCACTAACTTGGCTGTACCAAGTCAAAGCACCGCAACTGTTTAAAAAATAATGACATATTTTCTAGCTTGAAATTACTGTCTCAATAAAAAAGAATGCTCTTTTCTCTCAGGTTAAGAGCTGCTTTTACATTCTAAAATTACAGCATAAAAAGCCTGCTATGAATACAATGTGCTGCTTATCAAGTTTTTAACACTTAATCCAAAAGTCCAGATTTGGAATAGCACTTCAGAACAGTTTCTTCTGTCTGCGGTTCCTCCAAACCTCCCATTTAACAGAGAGATTGACAAAACACCTGCAAGACTATGTTGTCAGGAAAGTGCTTGAAAATGTGACTGGCACATACAGTACACAGGCCATGTTCTCTTAATTACAACAGCAATGTACATTAGTAAGGTCCAAGTATGAAAATAATCCTAGGGCCTCAGCGTGCTCCAAGGAAATGATGCATCTGTTAAAGCCACACAGTAATGCCACAAACTGATTACAAGTTCAGTCCTGCCAGCACAACTAGGTATAACCTTATTTGAAAGGCATTATTTCTCAGAATCTCAAAGTCTAGTATCTTGAAACTTTGTCCAGAACTCAACTATTTTATTATTTAGATAAATAATATACCTCTCATGGAACACCGTGAGACTATTCACAATGGAAAAGGATTTAATGTGTAGCATAGGCTTGAGAAGAAGGTTATTTTTAAACCAAAATGTTCCTTCCAGAGGAAGTAATTGTAGTGTTTTTCTGCTACGTGTGTCAAGTAGCAAGGAGGAGTATATTTTTGGTGTTGTAAATCCTTTAAAAGCTGGCAGATTGCCCCACCATAGTGCCTAAGTATGTATCACAAGGGAGGAGTGGTAGTCAGCTGACTTCAGGGTACAGAGAAAACCAAACTGAGGAAAAAACAAAGCAGAACTTTAAACAGAACTCTAATTCAGTTGGTTTAAATAAAACAATTTGCCTACAAAGACTTAAAAGGTAATGCTGAATACTTAATGTTTTCTCTGAATAATTTTCATCTTTAGTCTGTCGTTATTTTGATCTGTGTATCTTAATGCATGCAAAAATGTGAACATTGTCTGATTTTTTTAAACTTAAATATTCAGAAGTAAGAAAATAAGTATTTTATGGTAGTTCATGCAATTTAAAATTCTTTCCCCTTCTTCATCAAACCTGTTGAAAGGCAAAGACCTTAAGGGTAGGGAGGGAAGCATGATAACGTAATTACAGTCTTATACAACTATCGTATCATGGTAAAACTTTGCAATACAAATGACATTCTTTTAAACGTCATTTTCTGTGCTTAATTCAGTTTGTATGTTCAGTGCATTTAAAGTCACTGATTCATTATGATTTACTCCATTTTACACACATACATTGTATCTAATTAAATGGTATCGTCTCATTCAAATCATCTTATTTCCATTTCCAATTATTCATTTCAGATTATGCCCTTCTGTGCTATATTTGGTACTTGATTTTTTTTATCTCTTCCAGCTTTTTTTACTGCTTCATGTTTTCTCTAAATCCTTTCATGTAAGTGTGCTCACCTCTTCAGGATCTCGGTCCAAAGGATGTTCTGCAGGTTCTGAACCATTTTCCTGGATCTTTTCTGTAGCTGCCAGTTTTTAAAGTGCTAAATACAACAATATACCATTCATATGCAAACAAACTTTGACAGTTGTTGTTTGGTAGGGTTTCTTTTCCAACCACACCATTGTACTAAGACAGGAACTTGTGAGGATGTCTTTGCCTGGTATAACCCAACAGTGCTTCCAGATAAAATTTCCAAGATACAATAACCAAAGAAGAGATACTTAACTATTTATTTTTCTCTCCAAATGGGTAATTAATAATTGCTTAGTGTGAAACAACTGCTCTGTCCCAGTAATTGCATTTTACTACTCGGATTTTTGTCATATGCAAACATTATCAGACAGGTTTTACATTATTTATTTTCTAATCATTGACAAAATTACAGAGCATGCTATGGGAGTTGTGACTCGTACAGAATTTCCTTTGGAAGACAGTAGCCAGTAATAAATCTTGTTATTGAAAACCACTTTTGAGTTCTACTAGATCTTAATCTACTCAATAAACGCTTCTGTATTGCAGAGTGCTAGTTTGAATTCTGAATACTACAGCATTTTACTGAAAATTTTACAAGCATCTTTTATACAACAACATATCCAATTCTGCAAATACACAATGGCTTGTGCAATTCTGGCCAATGAAGGACACGGCCACCCTTAAAGTAAAATCAAAGGGTTAAACTGTTTTGCATAGAAATTAATTACCTAGTACCAACTACTGTACTTCAAGACATACAAACCTCCCCTTTTTCAAAAGTACTTGCAAAAGAGCATCCTTCAAAACCCACCCTTCTTGGGAAGTGGAACAGGCACTCCAGGGGAGAGAGGCCACAATGGCTCTAAGGTAAAACCTCCCTTGCATTCACTATGCTTTCAGCAGCTACATCAGTTATAAGCACCACAGGTGGGGAATGACGTACTCATTGCCTTCCCTTTTAACTCACAGGTTACATATTTAAAAAATAAAAATTAAAGAGCTGAAATCCACCATATCAACTGAAATTTGAATCAGTTTTTCCTTTATTTTATCTGAGTTTTCAATCTGATTTGCCAATGTAGTTACTTGAGTATTTCTGTTCCTTAAATTTTGGCAAAGTAGTGCTTTTTCACCTGTATTTCAGAAACACCCAATATTTCAAAAGTCATTTTAAAAGGAGTATCAGTATATGAAAGGTCTTCCAATGAAAATCTAGGAATTCCTGAACTTAAACTATTTGGGCCTGATTTAAAATATTTATTGCCATCAAGAAGAGTTGATGAACTAATTTTTATTCCTGAAGTAAATAAGGAATGTGTTCATAGCCTCATAGTAGGGGAGAGAAGGGAACTGCATTGTCAGCAAGAGCTTGACAGTCTCCATTTAGCATCAAACCCTATTATTAGAACAATTTATTTCTACTATATTAAAAGGTGTATTATTCTGAACTCTCATAATTACAGATACAAAGATACGAAGACAAAACGAACTTCCTATATTAATTTCTGTGCCCAACTTCATTGCATGAAGCAACTTTGCTACCTTTCAGATCACTATATAATGCTGGTATTGTTTATATGACGACACTGATGTAAGTCCTGGAGAATGTTTACTCATTTATATCTGACATGCTGACAACAGCAAGTATCACAAAAGTGTCATACAGACCTCCAGTGAACCTTATGAAATTTTGGAGAAGGATAAAAAGCTTCTTTAGCTCCAAAACCTTCATCCTTACAGGTCTTTGAAATTCATTGCAACTGACAGAGAAGAACCTCCTCCAAGAGCAGCTGCACAAATTGTTATGTCAAATGAAAGATAAGACAATTAAATATAGAGAACTTCTCACTATTACTGAGCAAATTAGTAAGAGGGTAACAGATCTAATTTCTTAAAAAATTGTTATTTATAAAGGCAAAAATTCTTCACTAGAGACTATTCATACCTTAAGAGCTCAGACAACGTAATCGGTTCTCTCAACCAGAGTAACGCCATGTAACAAAATGAAAGGGTCATTGGCATTGTCATCTTCAGTTTCTCCTTTTGGTTCTTCATTAAATACAAGCTGCCATCTACTGATCCAGAGTATATAGAGGTGCTTTCTTGGGTTTATGTAAAAACAGAAGAGGAAAAAAGTAATTGATATGATAGACACATGATCCATGGTATACAGAAAACAAGATAAATGAACATAACAAGGACCCTTGTTCAACAACCAGTAACATTCTGAAATAATTACACAGAGTAGTTTGGTTGGCTGTGTACTTTTCTACTAAACAGTTTAACTCTAATTTACTCATCTACCATGACATGTAATAACAATCTATTTCATAAACTGCTAATTCAATTGATTAAGACACCAGATCACATGAAAAGACAGAACTCCCTATGGTACCCATCAAAACAGACCTTTTGTTGGGAACTATACTTAAACCTGGATGTCTGGAAGGACATTAACTCCTATACAACATATAAATAACATTACTTATGAGCTGGAAATACTATTTTCCATTTGAGAGATAAGGGAACAGTGAGGAAACAAGGGAAAATTTGATGTACTTTAATCAGTGACTCCCAGTTGAGGATTAAAACACAGTTTTAAACTTCAGCACAGCCAGGACTTGAACGAAAACGTCATTTACATTGCAGAAATTTTACTGATGTTAAGGTCTGCCCTATAATCTCTAACTGTGGAAACACAGGTGTTCTTTTAAAAACTGTATTTAAATTCAATGTCAAAGAAACAACTTTAAAAAAGAATGTAGCAAATGGTGAAGAGGGTGGAAAAACCCCAAACAAATAAACAACCAAACCTCCCTACTTCCTTACTGAGATGAATCACTAAAAACTAAGAGGAACAGCAAAGAGAAAATTTAATTTAGTAGCATGATTTATGAGTTACGAATCTTTTCAGACAAATAATTTAAAAAAAAGCTTCTCTTCCCTACATCATGACCCAGCCAGGATGAAGGAAAATGCATTTAAAGCAAACCATCACAAAATCCAGCATTGACTCTGCAGAGATTTTTCTCTCTGTGTTTCCCCACAGACTGTTCACTGGTTCAGACAGGAACAGTGAGAGCTGGATGCACAGCTCCCCAGCTGGGAGCTGCAGGGCCATGGCAAGCAGCCTGCACAGAACAGTTTGGAACTGCACAGAGCTTGGCAGCTCTGAGGTTACACCGGCAGGCGACAGCCACGCCTGCGAGGGGGCAGCGGTGGAGGTCCAGCCCGCTGATACGCGGGAGGAGGACACCGCCAACAGCACTTCCATCGGCAGGGCTGGGCTGGGATGCCACCTACCGGCTCCCGAGCCGGCAGTGCTGTGGGCAGGTAACAGAGCCGGCTCCAACACACCCGGGACAGAGTAGAGTAACCTGTGTGGCTCTCACACACAGGTACGTCAGAGAACAAAAGCAGGAACATCGGTTTAATCCTTGTAGTCAACGGCTTCACCTTTCACAGGGATGCCTGTCCTCGAAGGCAGCTTCGTTATTAATTTCACATTCAATTCAATTTAAAATAATCCTCATTATATTCGTGGCCTTAATGACGGCACACCATTTCCTTTTATTTCCTCTAGCTTATGCAAGGCATGACAACACACAGTTACACACAGCTAATAATTTAAGAGTTTTTATAGGCTTCTCCAGCAGTATCTCAATGCCATATTCAGTGGAATTTGCTATTAAACCTGCAGAAAAAATAACAAAAACAATGCTTGCCGTCTGGACAAGCCTCTTAGGCAAAGAAGAGTGTTGAGGTTTCTAGTTTGTGGCAATAACAGCTCAGCAAAAATGGCACTGAAGAGCAAATTTATGAACCTTCACAAGAGTTTACAATAGACTAGAGCACACTTACTATTACTTGTGTAAAAACTTCAATATACAAAAATGTTTCTATGTTTGTCTAATTTCACAAAAATTTACTTTTAGTGTCATTGAACTCTTAATTAATTTCAAGTTAATATAGTGAAATTGATGACTACTGGAAGTTGAATTCAACTTCTGAAACAATAAACCAATAACATGAAAAATTATAGCTATTTAGGATTACCTAGCTGTTCTAAAACTCTAACAAACATAACTATAAAAGGCACAAGTACCAAGGAAGAAAGGAGTTCCTCTAGACATCAAAAAGGGGAAGAAAATTCAAGGGAATATTTTCACTAGAAAATCTTCACTCAGTTCTTTCCTCTTCATATTATATTTGTGTAACACCCAAGATTCTACATGTACAAACATACAGTGGCTCTTTACCTGAAAATGTTGTCATTTTAACATCTAAGGGTGAAAGTACTTGAATAATATTCATAAAAATTTGCGTCACCATTTTTGCACCTTTGCCCCCCTCCCTATTTCTGTTTGGATTTTCTAAAATGCATTTATTTTTCTAATTGCTTCTGATCACATTTCTCATTCTATTACCATTTCTGGATTTTACAAAATAAAGAGAAAAGCACAAAATAACAGGACTGCATTCTTCTGAGGGCAGACAGGCAATATCACAGAAGAACAGAAATGGGACATAAAGAGGGTAGTACATAACATGGAAATAAGAAACACTGAGACAGATGAAGGAAAAGGCAAGCGAAGAATAAAGCAAAAAATAAAACCTCAGGAATTTAAAATGCAAGCAAAGCTTTCAAATGGGCCTTGAAATGTACTTCCAGTATTGGATATTGCAGCACTGTCTGGCATTACACTTACTCAGTAGCACCAAACAGTCCAATTTTCTATAACAGTTGAATTTAAAAGTTTATCATTCTGCAAATATTTTCAAGCTGGTATTGCAAGCAGAAAGCAGAAACTCACGGAACACTAAAATATGACTTTTCAGAGAAGGGGTTATAGGGAAATTAGTAAAAAGAATGCAGAGACAAAAGATACAGAAGTACCAAAATACTTTAAAGAAAAAAAATTAAAAAGCTAAATATATCTATAGGATGGAAAAAAATACCCCCCTCAAAGAACAAACTCATGTTTTTTAACATCAAAGTCATGACTGACAGTTCTGGTACTGGCTAAACAAGTGCTTACTCTTCAAAGCTGCTGTGTTTGTAAACATTTAGCTTTGCAGATAAAATAGCAACTTTTTCCCAATCCAAACAGGAGGCATGGAGCAAACTTGTTATAAAACAGAACTTCCTTCTGCATTTCTCATTGTATTTACAGGTCCCGTTCAACTTTCATCTTCTAGAGTGGGGGTTGAGGGGGGAAGTCTTCCATTTCTGCTAGAATATAAAGTACTGCAGTGTCAAACAGGACTGAAAACTTTACATCTTCCAACCAGTTCCTCCAATTCACTGTGCACAAATACATTTTATATTTATTTATATTTAAAAACTACAGAAAAACTGGTTTCTAGATGGTTCAGTTCACTGCTCCTACCTGAAACCTTGCTCATGGACGAGGCAAAGCTGCAGTCAGTCTGCAGATCCCCCTCACTTTCAGAGAGGGACAGCAAGTGCAGAAGGCTGGGTCTTTCTGGTTCACTGTCCACATCAGTACTGCTCTCACGTACCTGTTTTTTGTAAATACATATTTGTATTAGCTACTGTTAGTTACTGTTTCAGTCTTAACAAACAACATAAAGCAGGACAGACACAAAATCAACAGTAAAAGTTAAAACCCAAACTGTTCACATTTTTACTTTCTCTATAAATCAACAGTACATGAAGAAATCATGGGGAAAAAAGTATTTTTAGAGGATTTCTCAATATTAAAAGACTTGTAGTGAATACATTTCAATCTGCCACAACGACCAGAAAGTTGGCAGCATATAGAATCAAAGCTTGATGAAATAAGTAACTTTAAGGGAGCAGGCAGGACACGATTGTAGCTGCTGATGCATTTTGCATGGTGATTTCTATCTACTGATTTTCTATGTCAAGACAAAGCAATATTTTTAAACAAGCAGTTTTAAATACTCACAGAAGTATTTATCTCTTGAAATAGGTAAAAAACCCCCCAGAAATAACAAAATAGACATGTGGAACCCTGTTCAGATGACATCCCTCATAATGAAATGACATTATTACCAGCCACATATCTTGAACAAAGAATGTTTCTGTTGTTGCTTTAAAAAGATATCAAACATCTCAAGGGATTTGAGCTTTCACTTACTGATAATGCTTTGACAGTTTCCCCAGCTGGTCTGTTGCAATATGCCTGTTTGCTCTTCTGAAGGTAACACCTCCAAAAATTGTACAGAACTTCATCCTTATAAATACAAATGGATGATTAGTACAATGTTTACAAGACCATTAATTGCTGAGAGAACAGAGTGTAATTTCTAACTCAGGAATCTGAGTAATATTCCATCTCTAATTTTACTAACTGTGATTTATAAAATATTTTTTAAAATTACCAGAGATACAAAATTTGATTTTATATGGTCAATGTTTTTAAAGAGGGAGTTGAGTCATTTTAAAAATTAAAATTTGTTAAAATAACACCTTCTGTAACACAACTCACTGACACCTACATACCTTCATTTGTGGACATACTCCTAATGCTTCTAAAGCTTCAGCTTGTTTCTTGAGTATAAGTTGAAAGCCTTCACAAACATACCATTCACAGACTCTATCTAAGGGGGAAAAGAAGGGGGTTTCTGTTTGTTTGCACTGGTTTGGGTTTCTTTAACCTTATGCGCACTTATTTCCACTTAACATTGTTCCTTTGGTACCAGGACAAAGACAAGTCTCTCTGTTTAAGACTTTCAGATCCTAGTGCACAGACCAGCTACACTGAATACTCCATTAACTTCCACTTATTCACAGCCTTAAAAGAAGAAAAGTTACTGAACAAGTACTGTTCTCCACACGTTTCCCAAGAATAATGTATTTCACTATAACATCTAGTGTGGGATTTGTAATTCAGTGGAGCATTGTTACATGACCAGTTTTAAAATAACTAAGAATCTGCCATTAAAAAATGAAATATGAACATTTCTTTCCCATCCTTGGCACAGAAACCTGGAACGTTACAGTAGTGAGTCAGGCAAAAAACAACCAAACCATCACGTGCTTCACCATTCTCTCCCACAGAATCATACAAGTTTAAACGAAAGAAACTTTCTCAGATATTCTGAGGTTCTAGCAAATCTCAGCACAACATGAATTTCATAAGGAGTGGGCCTGCTCCAGTCGATTCTCTATTTCTTCAGGCTGCATTACATCTACTTTTCACCCTTACCTCTCTCTGTTTACTACTAGTCTCTTCCACAAGCTTTCAGTTTTAGAAATTTTCTCTGCATTTCTCAACACTCTTTTCATTCCCCCCACACCTGTTCTTCATTACCTTTCCTCCCAATCACACCTTGCCTCTTGCCATCTTATAGGTTATCTGCTCAAAGCTTCTGCTCTGCTTCAGTGATGCTGGCTTTAACTGTTACCCACAGATACAGCTTACTCCTATAAATGCCTGAAAACATAGTGTAACATGACTGCACTCACAGAAGGGACTGTGTGAAGGTAAGGATTTCTTTCTGCAGAAGCCTGGGGGTCAATTAATGACCTTCCTAACAGGAGAAACAAAAAGCATGAAGTGCTGAGTACATGGCCCAGGCTTTAGGAGCTACATAGGATAAGGACAAGTAGAGGTGTTCAAAGGAATGTAGCAATCCACTACCACTGCAGCAGAGCAATGGTAGATCAGGACATCAGAGACAAGGATAACCCCATGCTTCATTTGGTATTGTAATGCAGCTTTATTTCTGAAAGTGGCCACAACAGTAAGAGATCTATCCAGTCATCACAGAACACACACACACACCTCCAGCAACAGCCTCACCATGATATTCTTATGGTACAGATCCTCATACATAATGAGCAGTATTCTTCTGAATCATGAAAGTATAAAAGTGACTCTGGATGAAGGATGTAATACTGGTTCAGCTACTGGAACTCCATGAAAACTCTTCTATGTAGTTTTGTGCAGGTTACAGGGACAAGTACCTTTAACACAAGCCAGTCTGAAACTCTCTAAGAGCTGGACCACCGTCATACCTCACCAAGACAAACAACTTCTCTGGTTTTGTGATAGCCATCACAAGGAAGGAACAAAGAGATCACCACACCTGAATGCACGCCACCAGTATCTTCAGCGAGTATTTACTTCCACGAATCAAAGCAGCAACACGTAACACATAGCTCACTTCAATCAAAAAAAACCAAAACACCACTGGGCTCGCAGAGGTCACCTGTGGCTCAGGAAGTCACCAAAAGTGATTGCTGAAGGTTATAGCAGCATCTAGGGGGTGTGTTTTGTTTCCACTCCCACAGTCTTTCCTAGCTATCTGCTTTTGGTCTCCATCAAAGACATAATGGCCTAGGTGAACCCTGGCTGAACAGCCACTGATGCAAAATACAGACAGAAACTCATACATACCAGTTTTTTCCTGCTTTCTTGAACCTTTAGAGATTGTCTGGACTCTTGAATTAGTCATAAAATCAGTGTTTACAACTTCTCTAGTTCTCTGCAAAACAGGAGTATTATCTCATCCAGAAATACACCAAGTCTAACTTCCATGGATTGCCCCACCACATAAAACATAATGGAGGAACTTATTCAAATTTCCTAAACTAAGAAGAGGACAGGACACTCTGAACTCTTCATTCAGAAATTGCTAAAATAGAGAATTGCTATCACAGCCATACAGGTGATGTGCACCAGAGTTTGCCTACATTTGTACTGTAGTAAAATGCAGCAACACCCAGGCAACGCTTCTAAGGCATCCAGAGAGCATCACAGGACTACAGCAACACAGCAGGCCAAGATGGCTCATTCCAAATTTTGTGATTTCAAGGAACATTAGTCTTAGTGTCAAGTAAAGCATGAAAAAGGAAGAATAACAATACTGCCTTCAACTCCTTATGTCAAGGAGAAAAACCTAACATTCTCTTAGTATACAGAAAGAAGCAATCAAAATAAACCTTTTTCAAGGCCAGTAACTTAGCTTTTTACCTCAGTAACATTGTGGCAAGATCTGCAATAATATCTGCCTCCATCAGTGAGACCCCAGTTCACTTCTGAACATTGGGCACAGCGTTCATTAAAATCTCTCTGAAAGAAAAAAAAAAAATCACAAGAGTGTTTCACAAGTGTTTGGGTATAAAAAATGGCACTATTACCAGCTACTGCACAGCTTTTGGGATTATTCATAGAGAATATTTACACCTTTTGTGTTGGCTCTGGTTGGTAACAAGTGATCATCTCCTTTGTTATCAGCCACAGGTAACTCTAAACACAGAATTTTACCTGGCAAGCACTAAGAAGTGCGTGTGTAAGCATTAGAAATCAGGGGAATGGTGATCCACGCCTCGCACACACGTGGCGTGGCTTAGAAAAATAAAAGCCACACATCAGAAATGAAAGCGGAGACAAAAACTAGAGCGGAAGGTGAAAGGAAAAATAAACTTCTGGAAATGCGAAGAAAGCCTGCACGCGCCGGGAGAGAGGGAAACCAACAGATTAAAACTAAGTGGTTTTCAGAGGCGCCCCACACGTGCGTGCTGGGGACGGGCAGCTCCGCCGGGCCCATCCCCGGCCAGGACCGAGCACCGGCCAACGCCGAGGGGCCGCGCAGGGCCTCGCCCGCCGCCGCCGGGCCCCGCTGTGGGCAGGGCCGGGCAGGACCGGGCCGGGGAAGGCAGCGCCCACCGGCGCCTCCCCCACTACCCCCGCAGCCGCCGCACGCCCGGCGGGGAAGCACTGCCCGCGCCCCGCCGGCGAACCCCGGCCCGGCGAACCCCGGCCCCACCGTGTCCTCCTCCTCCATGGCGGCCGCGCCCGGGCCCGCACCATGACAACCGCGCTCCGCGCCACTGCGGCCCGTCTGGAAACGGCGTCCCCGGCGCTGGCGTTCCGGGCGCCGCGGGGCCCCGGCCGGACGTGGGGACCTCGGGGGGGACGTGGGTGCTTCACTGAGGGGACGTAGATACAGGTGTTAGACATTAGATAAAAGGAAGAAATTCTTTACCGTGAGGGTGCTTAGGCAGCGGAACAGGTTGCCCAGGGAGGTTGTGGATGCCCCATCCCTGGAAATGTCCAAGGCCAGGTGGGATAGGGCTTTGAGCAACCTGGTCTAGTGGGAGGTGTCTCTGCCCGTGGCAGGGGAATTGGGGCTGGGTGATCTTTAAAGACTCTTTCGACCTCTTAACATTTTGTGATTCTATGATATGTGTGCTTCACCTTTGAAGGGGACTTGGCTGCTTCAAGGGTTGGAAAAGACTTCTGAGATCATCAAGTCCAACCTATGACCAAACACCACCATATCAAGTAAACCGTGGCACTGAGTGCCATGTCCAGTCTTTCCTTAAACACCTCCAGGGACAGTGACTCCACCACCTCCCTGGGCAGCCCATTCCAATGTCTAATCACCCTCTCTATGAATAAATTCATCCTAATGTCCAACCTAAACCTCCCCTGGCGCAGTTAGAGACTACAATCACGTGCAGTTTAAGACTAAGACTATATGTGCCCTCCCAGCCCGCCACCATCCTCTGTGCTGAGCTCCTGCATCCTCCCCCTCCATCTCCCTGATCAGGTACACTTGGCTGGTGACCACTGAGGCTGAGCTGAGGCTGTTGGACACAGATTACTACTGCCTGTACAAAAGGAGGCCACAGGAACTCATTTAACTATGTAAAAGTGCTTGGAGATCCTTGATGAGGGAAACTATGATCTGAAATTCACTTTCAATTAAAAAACAACACCCAAACCTCCAGATCTTGATGTAGGTCTCTAATTTCTTGCACACTAATAATAATGTTTAAAGATGTCTAAACAGCAAGATCTGTTATTGCAGTGAATTTGCCCACAAAATTGGAGAACAGGTTTAGAACCTTTTAAAAAAAAAAAAAAAAAAAAAAGGTCCACTAAGTGAAAGCATGGGAAAAAATTAAAGCTAAAATATACATAGAAAGAGGTGAGGCTGCTTTGACAGCTGTGGTTACATTGATGTTGGAGGATATGTACAGAGCTAGAGGGGAACTATTTGTGTTCAAGAAAAAAGTTATTACTCATACCAACTGTGATCTTTTTTCAGTGTGGGATGAACATTTGTAACACCCTTTAAAGAGAATTGCACATGTAATTCCTGCCATGTTAAAAAGGTGATTGTCAACCTCACAGAAATGTAGCTAATACTTTGATGAAACAGATCCTACTTGTGATTGTAATTTCCATATTTTTTTTGTGTGGAAATACTGTTCTGGGAAAGCAAGGCTGTTTCATGTGACAGAAGGCATTAGATCTATTTCTAATGAATTTCCAAGATGAAATACTACCTTGAAAAAATATCAGGGCATCTGTATCTGCGATAAAAGAGGAAGAGTTGTGCTCCAGTACGAAAGATAGGGCTTGGCTGCTGAGAGCGGTGCTCATGTGTGACTCCAGGCTGTGAGCCAGCATTAGGCCTGCTCAGTGGATTTAACTAAATTGAGGAACTCGTTTAAATTAAGCCTGGATGTGCCACTTTGATGAGGCAGGACCTTGGAGTCTGTTTTCTAATTACAGCTGGTCAATAAAATATTAAAGAAAGTGTGATCATTGGACTGCCATTTTGTAAAAACTTGAACACTTCATATTCAATGGCAGCAGTTGCAGATAAACAAGGGAAGAAGATGGGTGACTGTACAGGGAACTGTATTGATGTAATTGTAGGCATATTGGTGCAAGGCGCCAATAAAGTTTTTGAACAGGCAAGCCCTTACTCTCTGCTTTTGGACAGCCCACACTGCTTTTCTGAGTTGCATTTTCCATGTAGGTGAAACAGATGTGAAAAAGTAGCAAACTTTGGAAGAGAACTTGTACAGTGACTGATACTGATATTACTAGTTACTTATTAGTATCCAGGCTCTCCATAAAGGCAAAGCTTCTATCCGTATTTCTTCTGAAGTCCATCAACTAATTAGTGCACACTACTAATCTGGTAGAAAAAAATCAAAGCATAATAGGGTTAGCAAGTCTTATATCTGTTTCTTAAATATTTTTTGAAATGACAGGTATAAAACCGGTTTTTCAGCATATAAAATTATGTGTAACCTTTGTCCCTAATTACAAGTTACCCAAGCATACTGATAGGGGTATGATAATTTCAAAGCCAGGAGACAGACTGTCTTCCTGCTTTGGCTCACTTTTCTAATTAAGATCATTATGCGTAGTAGTCAGATTGATTTGAGGCTTAGATAAATAATACGTCCTGTTGTTTCCATTGATTTGAATTTTTAATGAACTGAGTTCCATTGCTGATATCACATTTCTGGCTCTTGACTGCAGACTTTCTACATGTGAAAATGTAAAAACTACATGTTGGACTGAAAGACATGTCCCTTGGCCTATCCTTTGGGATATTGCTCATGAAATTGTGCTGGCTCCAGGATATAAACTTCTGTAGCAGAGATTCTCCCCAGAGTCCTTACTCGTTGTCAGACACCTACTACAAAGAGTTAGAGCAGAAAAGCAACCTCAGCTGCTCCAAAGATTGTGCAGATGAACACAGGGCAGATCTACCAGATTCAAGTTTATGGCAAACGTACACAGTTATTAGCACCCGCAATTTCATCTTTGCACCATCTCTCCATGGAAGAACTCATGTTTAAAGACAGACAGAAAACAAAAGGGAAATTAGGAGAACAAGAAGTAAATGGCTTCACTCTAACCAATCCTTAGAGGAGAAAAGAGACCACACTGCAGAAGGGGTCAAGGGGAAAAGCTGTGCCAGCAGAAGTGTGGTGGAGGCAAAGGCACAACGAGTTGTGCAAGGAGCCGACAGAAGAAGGGACAAAGGTGGGAACAGCAGCAAGGCGTAGGGGTTGCAGCAAGCTCGGCAGGGGAGGATAACCAGGGAGGGGCTGAGCTCAGCGGAGCTTTGAAGGAAGCGACAAGAAGAATGAATTTAACGTTACAGCTTAGACACACCCAACATTGCCTTGTGATAGTTACTGTTTATTATACAGCTTCAGCTTTCAAATTTTATTAGTTAAATACGTTTCTAGCCCTGCCGTGAAAAACTGAAAGTACTACCTCAAACACCCAGAAGGGAAAGCGAGTATTTTTTTTTCCAAAGTTTAGTCAGGTTTTCTTAACATTTTCTTAGAACGTAAGCAACATGAATTTTGATTTTTGACTACCAAAAGCAGCAATGTTGCACCCAGGAGGGAGGGCAGTCCTGTGCACCCAATCTGGGGTTTACACCATCAGCATTTGCTTTGCACATATGCTGCAGCCCAGCCTATCTCACACAGTCACACTGCGGGGCCACAGTCTTGTTCCAGTTTCACCTGTGGCTCTCCATGCTCAGAGAACTGTTAATGCTGCATGGCCACCCAGCCAGGGGTGTTTGGAGACACAGACTGCAGGGCAGGACCTCACATTCAGATGAGCTGCTGTAGGAGGCAAAATTGTTTGGGAGGCCATGGTCATATGAGGCCAGCCACAAAGTGATTTGGGAGGTCTGTTTGGGGATGCTGAAGTCTGACTGGAGTCAAGTAAATACCTCATTGTAGGTCCTGGCCTTCTAAGGCAAAATCTCTGTCCTGAGGAGCACCAAGCTGCTATCCTGCTGTCCACACTAACAGAGACTGCACCCCTTGGTACATGATGACTATGTTAACATGATCCTACAGAGACACAGAGTAGGGTAAGGACACTTCTAGGAGAGAAGGTGATATTAGCAACCACAAAGGAGCAGAGAAGGCACTGAATGTCCCATTTCACATTCCAGGCATATATAATGCTTTTATTTTCTTATTTGTCAGAATTTATTGAGCAGTTAACATGAAATATTCCTTGAAGTTGTAATACTTAAGTTTTGTCTGTGTCAGACTTTGTCTAGTTTCCAGCTCTAAAGGGAATCTTGGGTTTCGCTATAGTGTTGTGCATCCATAGAGCACTAAAGATTGTTCTTAAGATCATTCTTGGATGCGTTTAATCCACAAATGCAGTGGTATTTTTAAAGGAATCGAGAGCCACCTTGTGGAGCTGGGATTCACAAAGGGTCTCCAAATAATACTGCTGGCAACAGCAGCTACTCACTGCTAGAAATTCAGATCCAACATGGTCCTGGAGATTGTCAGTCTGGGAAACATGCACCATGCACATGTCTGAGCATATTCATTGCACAGTGCATTACAGAGCTGCTCTGCTGACTAAACCTGGAGAGCAAGCAAAGATGCTTGTGGACAGTGGCAGACAGGAATACAAAACTGTCAGAAAAGTGCAGAAAGCAGCAGAATCAGGGAAGCAAAGTAACATATTCATTATGTACTACACAGCCTTGTTGTGTATGGGGTGTTGCTCACAGGGCATTTTTCACCATATAATTAATTAAGCCCCAAAAATGCTGATAAATTTTCTTAAGATTTCTGTCACAGGCTTTTTTTCTTGTGCAGTCATTCATTAACATTGAGAATTAGGATTGTCAGAACTCAAATACCAGCCCATGCTCTATAACCAGAGAAATAATAAAGATGGGATTACTTATGTGACACCAGTAGTTGTTTCTTTGTGGAAGTAAA